GGCTCTTCTCCCACAAGAGTGAGCTTATGCCAAGTTTTTGCTCCCTCCGTGCTGCTTCCAGGGGTTCCAGGGAGCCCCTTTGAGGTGCAGCATTCCCTGCTCACCTGCTGGCCAGATGTGCATTGGGCTCACCTCTGGACTGACCCGATAGCAGCGTTCAGAGTTTCCAAATTTGGGCCTAATAAGGGCAGTGAGTTGCTTTAAACCCCAGTGCATGGGGTTTTAAAGAGGCTGCTGTTGTATGCACTGCACTGTGAAATATTCCAGCACATCCCTTGAGTGCCAAGCGTTTCAGCAAGGCTTTAAATATCTTTAAGGGAATTTTTTGGAGTATGGTTGTTCTTTATTGAGGAAACACCTGTTATCCACATTTTATGGGTAGGGTGGTGAGCTCAGGAATGATGCTGTTTGCAGAGAGTTTGGGGAGTAAAGGGTCTAACTTGATTCCTGCAAGCCTGAATCGTGTACCATAACTCCTGTTCAGCCTTCCTTGGGAAGTGGTGAATAATTGTCTCAAAACAAAAAAATACCCAGATGAATGAGGTGGGAAGAATGTGACCATTTCTGTGTAGTGTTGTAGAATGCTGCTTTTAATGTTTTCCATAGATCTTTTCAGTGGAGCTTTGACTTTGGTGCAATGGGCCAGACCCATGGCTCTGTCCCTTCTTTGAGGGAAGCTTGGGAATGTCAGACATGGGATAAATCACAGGAGAGCTGCAGGAGGCTGTGCTCTGAGCTGCTCCTCAGGGCTGGAGAAAACTTTCAAGTTAATTCCCTGATGCTAAACCTGTGCTATATGCTGGAGAAATCCAAATTTGGTGACAATCTGCTTTTCCTTGGATAGATCAGAGGCTGAAAGGTGTAAGCAGGGTGGGCTGCACTGCCAAGGGCACTCATCTGGAGCAGTGATGCAGGTGAGGTGTCCTTGCATCTGGCACACAGCAGTGCTCTCATGTGCTCTGGAAGGTGTCAGCAGTCACATCCCTGTCTGTCTTTCTGGTTTCTTGAGCCTTGTCTCCCACGCAATAATTTTTTTTCAAGTTGAATCAATAAAATGGTTGATTCTCAGCACTGAGCTTTTCTGCAGTCGGTGATTATTTGCCAGTTGTGACAGCTCTGCAGAGTTTTGTCCTGGCCAGTAGTCTCAGCAGATGCATTGTGTTGACTTCCTGAATCCAATTTGTAACAGTAATGTTTTTCTCATTCTGTGTTTCTGGAACCATTTGCCTGCTTTCCTTTCCCCATCTCCTTCTCCAGGGCATCCCAGCAAGGGCTCTGCCCTGCACGCTCCCAGTTGCCTTTTGTTTGCCTCCTTCCACTGCCTGAATTCCCCTGTTTTGGGAGTAGATTTATGGGAGATGATTGTAGACACACTAGAAGTCATTTATGAGATAGACCAGTGAGAATCTTGGGCAGCTTTTGAGACTCTCCTTCTAAAAAACACAAGCCCACATGTAAAATTTCCTAAGCTGCTTGATTTATTTGATTTGTTTACTCTGTCTTTCAATTTCAAAGTCATTTAGGAAGATTGTATGCACAAACATTTAAGTTCTCTTTAACTAAAGTCAACCAATGTGTTTTTTCAATGAGCTGGAGCTCATGAGAAAGAGTCAAACATTAGCTGTGTAAAGAAGGCAATTAGTGTTTGTACAATATATTGAAAATTAGCCTGAGGCACACTGGAAAAATACATATTTTACACATGTATATTTTTCTTTCAATTCCACAGTTTGTACCAAGTCCTGACACAGATCATTCCAGAAGCTACCAAATGAATTCAAACTGTGAAAGAGGTTGCAACTATCTATAAAAAGAGGGGGTTTAACTGTAATGTGTTTGGTTTTGCTCTGTATATTTGATCACTTGAAGGAAAAGCCTTTTCTCCTGCTGCAGTATGTCAAGGAAGCTTATCTGTATGTAAACAGCAAAATGAAACCTCTCTTGTGTTGTAAGGGTTGAAGCTTTCAAGTTTAGAAGTTGAGCATTTCTAAAAACGTACTAATGATGTCATCCTGATAACAGGATATACTTCTCTCTCTTTGTCGTGGAGTGATTCTTTTCCATAGATTTTAAAGCTGTCACAGGAGTAGGAAAAAGCTGTCATAATCACAGGAATCAGTGGAGAAGTTTTATTTTAATAAGTGTTGGGGAGCAGCTGTCATGTTATCTGCATTAAATATTGTGCACCCATTATCAGTAGTGTTTTGCCCACAGTTTGATAGGAATTCAGGTCAAAAGACCATTTTCCTGAAGGGGAAGAAATGGGCATTGTTGATACAGCCATGGAGGGAGTAACAGTTAAAAACTTTGGACAAATAGGAGTACACCTATAGCTATTAAGGAAAATACGATTTTTAATTTTTTGCAATAATGTAGTGTTTAATTCTAATAGGACAGATCACAAAATAAAAGAAATGGCTTGTGAGGCTCTGGTGCTATAATGGACATAAATATACTTTCTGCAGTTGATGATGTTAAAGTATTTGTTGTTTATATGAATTATTGTGTGTATATAGAGTTGAAACTTTCAGTAAGACAACTTTTGTTTCTACAAAAGAATTCACAGCAGTGCAAGTCCATATGGAGTCTTGGATGCAGGAGTACAATGAGTCACCTTAACATGTAGAAGAGAGCATATGGTTTTGGTAATAGGTTAATAAGGGCAATTAACCTTGTAGTGCACTCATTTGTTGGTCTCAATTGTTTATAAACTAGGTAATAAAGATATTTTTACATCCTATAGTTCTATAGGAGATTAAGTGAAATCAGGCTGTATTTTTTAAGTTTCAGTGCCAATAGCACTCAGGTGATATTCTGATAGAAACATAAAACTAGCAGAGCAGAAGATTCAGAGTACTCCATGGTGTGTCCAACCAATGGGTATCATCACAAATGTTGAAATACATAGAATAGTTCAGAGAAATACAAACATATGTTCAAGGTTTTCATTAGCAGGACTGTTTTCCTGGGATGCAGTCACAGATCTGTCACTCAGCTTGTTCTTATCACCTTGCAAAGACTGTAATGTGAAGTGTTTCCAGGCTTTATTTACGTAGAAAAGAATTCTAAACTTGCCTTCTTCTTCTTGAGGGTGAGCCTCATAAAAGGATAGGCTAAAAAAAGCACTGTCATTGCTTTATTTTGTTTGTTTTGAAGGACTTCCTGCAGAAGTTCCAGTTTCTCTTGTTCTCTGCTTGGCAAAGAGAATCAGTGGGTACAGACTGGCCCCACAAACTGCACCCACAAGAAAAGCCATTTCTACTTCATTCTCTGTTGGCTCCTCACATTCAGGTGGTGTCACTTGTTGTTGATGCAAAGACAAGTGACACCAAGGGTTGTGTGATTTTTGTTTTACGAGTTTGTTTTGGGTTCTAGGCTGGTTGTGATGGGAGAAGGGATGGTTTCACCATAATAATAGTTTTTTTTTTCAATTCTAGAATTTGTATCAGTCAGCTTTTTGGCCTCCTGCCTTTGTGCATATCTGGTTTGCAAACTTCTGCCTACTTATTTGGCTACTATATTATTATTCCAAAAGAAGCCTCTAAATCAGCTCATCTGTAGATTTAACTTGAGCATGTAAAGTATATATTGTGGTTATTGCTTTTGTCTGTCCTTCCTGATTTACTGTTAATTGTCTGATTTTTACCTTATATTTTGGTTATAAGTTATTTTAATAATTTAGCTGATGATAACCCAAATGAGCTATGATTGTTTTTCTTTATTCCGAATTTGAACATCAAGACAGTAATTTCTTTCTTTAGGTTTTCTTCAGAGGTTTCCATGAAACCTTTCTATACTAATTTGTGGTCTCATTTTTTTTCTCTTTCATTGAATTGACTGAACAATATATTTGCTGGTGCAGCATTCACCAAAGATGAGGACTCTTATGCTTTATTAGACTTGACAGTGTTTAAACAATACTAATTCTCATACCCAGCTGGCTTTTCAATTGATTTCTGTGCTCTCTATTGCTGGGTAAAACAAGCTGGAACATTAACGGCATCTTGCATGCTACCCTCTGGAGACTTACTTTTCTTTAGAGAAAAATCAAATAAATATGAAAGTTTCTGGGTTTTCTCCTTATTTTTATTTTTCAAACGATACTTTAGTGTACTGTCAGATTTTGTACGTGTTACAATACTAATTTTCAAGCACATTATTTTAAAAAGTAGTCTTCATTTTATAGATACATTCACTGGTTTGCTCATTTTTTAATAGAAATAAATGCCTTCATCTAAACCAGAATATACCAGCTTTAAAAACATGTTCAAGATGCACATGAATGTGCTATTTTAACCCCGCTAAAATTCTGTATATTGAAAATGTGTTTGCCAAACAGCCAGTGAATATTTGCAGATGTTAATCATTTGTTTAGCCTCTCACTTTTAACTATATTGAGTATTCTTCATGAGAGAGAGAGACATAAAACCCCTATTTTTCTAGCTTATAAATATAAATATTTAAGTCACGCATTTAGACAAGCCCAAGCCTTAAAACATTTGCTCCTGGAGGAAGAATTTTGTCTGTTTAGAGCAGACATCTGTGATGGACTGCAGCCATTGCTGAGGTGACCATTGTAGCACAAGTCTCTCCTTCCAGTCCTTCAGAGGCTGCTTAATTCCATATAAATTTCAGTTAATTGTCAAACAGCAACTTTCTGAAACCCAAGTTTGATTCTTGTTGTCCTGGTCAAATGAGGGGAATGACCTGTCATAAAGGACTGGCCAAAGCTGGGAGGTAGGGTTTGATATTTAACTTCAAGGAATCAGTGCTTTCGAAAGAAAAATTATAACTTTCTTGGCTATAATATCTCCTATAATTTTTTGCAGCCAGCTGGCCCTGTGCAAAATGTGTGCCAGTATCTGTCCCACAGTGCCATGACACTCCGTGTCGTGCATACAAAGTAGGGAAGCCTTGTAGGGAATATTTTCTAAATTAAGAATGTTTTGGTATCACAGTACTCCATTTAAGCCATTTTTTTCCCCCATAATTTTCTACAGCTGGTCTAAAAACCCAGAAGAATGGAAGTTTCAAAAGACAAGACAGACGTGGCTTCTCCTGCACATGTATGATAAAGAGAAGGTTTGTATTCATGCTGCTTTTTCTCAAAACAAATATGATACAGTATTATACATTAGTTATAGCTATTCTTTATTAAACCATGCATTTGTATAATAATTTTTAATAACTTACAAATTAGTTTGTTTTAACAAAGATGCTGAAGCATTTTAATTGCTTGTCATTGATATTTTTATTTTGTTGGTGATCATTACCTTGTGCATGCTAGATTTTTATACTTGATGTATAGCAAGCATAAAGAAAGCAGATTCATGATTTATTTAAATATGGAGTTTTATGAGAATTTGAGTCATATCCTTAATTTTAATTTCCTAATGTGGAACCCAATACTGCAAACCACAGTTCTCATATTGTTTCAGATATCTCTGGGCTCCATGGAAGATGTGCAACCATATTGCCAAGATGTTAAAATAGCTCTCATTTAAATATAAGTGAAACCTGATGTTGATTGTGAAAAGCATAAAGTATAACCAGAAGCAAGGCTTGAATCCATACTGAAATCTGTTAATTTCATAACTTAAAAAACAACATACATTGAATTACCAATAAGTATCTGACCATCGTGGTATCAAATGAGGGTGTCGGGTCATTCATTTTGTTGTGCAGTAGAACAAACCTCTGCCCATTTGCGCAGTGCCTCACTTATTGGCTCATTTTGTTGACATTCAGTTAAGTTTTCCTGATTTTTTTGTGTGCACTTGAACATTTACTCATACCAATTGTCCTGACCCAAATTAGTCAGCAGCTCTTAAGCCAATCACCTGACATTGGGTGTTACCTTTTTAGACAGCCAGATAATTAACAACAGAGTTTCACGAAGGCAAAAATGTTCACATGGTGTAAATACTTTAAAAAGATGGGTTGCAGAATACAAATTTGATTTTGGGTATTGGGTTGTTTGCTGTGTCTTCTGTTTTTTAAGTTTCTCTCTTTAAAATCTTTATCAACCTTTCAAAATCAGTGCATGCTCTTCAAAGCTACCTAGAAGTTGTTTAGCAGGCAGAAGGATGTTTTTACTTTTTTTACCTGTTTACTTTGGTTTTATGTTGAAATATACAGGGACACAATGAACTGTAAGTAGCATTTGGTTTATATCTCAAAACACAGTTTAACTCCTTGTTTCTCAACACTGAAATGAAACTTACTTTTTCTTAAAATTCTGATGGAAGTGCTCTGATTTATTTAAATTCACATATTTTGTAGTTTAATAATCAGAGAAGCATTGAATATGAGCTTCAGAGAATGATTAACATCTGCATCCAGATTTAGTGAAGTTTGTAGAGCTGCTCAAGTGCTTACAATTAAACATATAATGAAGTCTCTTTCTTCATCAGGACCATAGGGAGGGCACACCCAGCTTCTTTTGAATATTTTTTTATACCCAGATTCAACTTCCTGTCCATTACAGAATGAAATGTGTTGGTAATCCAAGCATGACTAACGTACAAAAGGAGACATAAGTTTCTTTCCTTCCTATCTTTGATCTCATGGTGTCACTTGGATGCCTACTGAAGAGCCATGCAAAGGCCTGAATTGAGTTTCCTGTAAGAAATAAGTTGAGGTTTTAAAATTGTTTGCTAGATAAATGGTTTTTTAAGCTCCTTTAAAATCCATCTGGTGGCTGGCTGACAGCTTCCAAGCCAGGCCTGTGTGCCTATGGTGTGCATACTTCTCCAGCACCCAGGATTAAATAAACACTAGGCTATTTGTTGGCCTTTATCAACTGGCACAGCATTTTTAGGAAGTTACTAGATCAGTCTAGCTTCTGGACTTCAGGGCGTGGTGGGGTGGCTGAAGCTTCCTTGGAAGGCGATCCAAAATGCAGCCTGGCATCAATGAGCTGAGCTTCTCTCAGTGTGTGTTTGCATTGCAAAATACGTGGGTCTCTGCAGGTCTCCAGGTCTGAAAATACAGAGTTGCAGAGGATAATTTAAAAGTGAGAACTGTTCTTTTCCTGGTACTCTTTCCTAGTGTTTCCCTCCTTTTCCCAAAGACAGGAATTATTTCACTTGGGATTATTACCATATTAATCAGCTCCAGTGTATATTAGGAGGTTAGGACAGAGGCAAGATTGGTGTGTGAGAGAGAAAAAGAAACAAGAACAAAGTCAAAACAGTTTAACAAAAGAATAACAAAATCCCATAAGTCTGGCTTTGACTTCCAGAGCCATGCTGGGAGATCTTGATCTCCAATTTCAAACCAGCCTTGAGCTGACCTTGGAAGAAGGATTGTGTTCTTCCTTGGAAAAGCTCACCAAGACCCCTGAAATTACTGCTTTTGTACTACTGTATTTGATTAATTAAAATTTGGATTTCATTAACTTTGTGGGTTCCAGTCCTTGCTATGTCTCTAGTGTCTGTGTAAGTCAGGAGGAAATATGATCTTACCTTGCCCACAGGGTGCTGGGCTGTGAGCTCCTGATGGAATAAACCTCAGAGCTGTGCTGTGTTAAAGGAAAAAACCCAGACTTCTTCAACACTTGAACACCCTTAGGGCTAAATGGTTTTTAGGCTTCAGGCAGCCTCATGTTAAGTCTGCACACTTAGGATTTCTAAATTTAGAGCAGGTTATCAATTGTCCCTTCAAGCAATTTGCTTAAACGATATAATAATAACTGTGCTTCCACAGGTATGTCTGTGTCATGAGCTCTGAGAAAAGAGTTGTAAATTACAGAGATAATTTGTCCAAGATTTGAAACGTGGAAATGTTGCTGACTTTAGAAGATCAGTACTAAGTATCTCTGTTAAAAGAACACTGTCACACTGGAATTGTTTGTGTCTAAATGGGTTCGTCTGTTACTAGTGCCAACTTACTGTGAGTGAAAACTTCCAAAAATATAGATATTTGATTTGTATAGTATAGCAACGCTTCATATGTCATCCATTTCAGTGTTAGTCACTGTAAAATTAATATTTTTTTCGTAACTGCATTGTTTCTTTAATGCAAGAGTGTCTGTGTGAAGAATTAGAAGGTTTTCCATAGTGTACAAGTTACAAGGCTGAACGCAGACTTAAGTTTTGATTTATTACTTTGTAATACCCCTGACTGATGAAGGCAGCATTGGAATATTCTTTCTTCCTCTTCTTTTGGAGTGATAGAAGTTTTAGTGATCAAAGTTCAGCTGCCAAATGTCCATGGAGAAATAAGTTGTAAATTAAGTGTCTGTTGAAGCTGTCTTCTCTGAAATGTTGATACTCTGCAGAATCGAAACCGCCCTCGAATAATTAGTCTCGAATCCTTTAAATACTTACGTATGTGTTTAACTTAACTCATGTCAAGTTATATGTGTAAAGTTAAACATGGAGAAACATATTTGCAGGGTGAGATCATTTTAACATCTCATGATTCACAGCAAAAAATATCCTGTTATTGGCTGAAACCTGTTCCACAGATACACAACATGAATTTAAGATCAGCGTAGGTCTGTTCACATACTGCTTATGAAAGTACTTCAGTATGAAATGCTGAATAAATCATTCCAAAGTCCTTGCTAAATTATTGTCAAGATTAATATGATCATTTAAATTGTATGTTGTACCAGATAAGCTAAAACTTAATCTCTGACTAGTTAATTAGGAAGGGGGTGAAGTGTGGATAATGCAATTGTAGATGACTAAAGTGCTTTTAATGTTAGACATGTTGGTAGAGCCTATCAGTTTTACTCAGCATGATTTAAAAATTATTTCCATATGTCTGAATTTGAGTTTGTCTTTCAAATTAAATTCTAGTCCTTTGTATAAGCATTCTGTCAAAGTGTGCAGTGGTGGGTGGTATCTCATCTTAGCAAACAATTTTTGGGCAAGGGTGAGGGGAATTCCAGCAAAATCCTTCTCTCAGACATATGTATGCAATTCTCACTGAATTTAGTAAGATTTACATGTGTGCTGCCAAAAGGAAGGTTTGGCTAATGTGTTTTGGTTTTTTCTTCCACCAACGCTCAGAGCCTTGGGCTCCCTGTCAGGCAGTGTTTGCATTTGCTGATCAGCGTTTCCACATCTGCTGAGCATTTCCTCTCAGATGCTTTGCCCATCTGAGCACATGACAGTCCTCTCACCAGGGCCCATCCATCCCTCCTGGCAGCTTGAACTTTGGCAGGAAACATTTCCACTTGGATTTCCACTTGAAGTTGGACCTTGGCAAACACCAAAACCTGTGCAATTCTTCTAATTGTCTTTCAGGTGATGCTGTGACGTGATTGTGAATATGTATTGAGAGGGGAGAAAATAAACCTGTTTTTCCTTCCTTTTGTTTTTCCTTCCAAGGTTCCAGACAAGTATTTCCCCATTTTACTGGATTATCTGCAAGGGCTTCAGGGCAATGCACGAGACAAAACTGTGCAGAAAGCTGAAGCTTTTATGAAGGAATTTGATGGTTCTGATGGAGAAGACCCAGACCTGCTGGGGAAGTGTGAGCGCATCAGACAAGTTCTACAACTGCTGTCCTGAGAGTATTTCTGTGTCATAATTGTTGTCTGGTGGAGGGAAGGAGAGGATGTCCCACACAGAGGCTGTAAAGGATTTGTAAAGATAATACTAAATTTTATACTCGTAATTCTTTCCCATTGAAAATATTTCTTGTGTTTTGAGGTGATGAAATAAAAATAGCATGTATAGCCCATCGTCTTGCTATTAATCTTATTGCACCTCTTTGCAAGAATAAACCTCTCTCCCTCTCTCCCTCTCATTAATTTTTTTTCCATCTCTCCCTCTAATTACTGTTAAATATGAGGAACTTTGCAGCTCTTAATAAGGAGAGCAAAGGAACCAACATAAAGCCTGGAAGGTCTTTTACAATGGCAGCTTTTAAAATGAGTGTACAGTACAGTGAGTGCTCAGCCAGCTGTAATCTCTCACTTTCAGCTTCAGAAGGATGTCACTTGGATTTGGGAAAGATCATTTTCAGTCTGTTGAACACAGGTTGTATAACACAGTTGCTTATTAGTACTTCACACAGTGATCTGGAGATACCATCGGCTTTGTTGGCTTTCCTTTCATATTTTAAAGTTTTCAAGTGCATTAGGGCAATTGTTTAGATACTCTGATAATGCACAGATGGGAACAGATCAAATCCTTGACTATATGTTGTGAAATCATCACATCGTAGCTAAACTTAGCCTACAATCAGAAGTGCTCTGCTGTATCCAGCCTGCCAATATTGCATTTTCCTTTTCCTCCTGCAAATGGCATCCAAAAGAGTTAATTCATGTTCATTCCTTTTGGCATGGAACATTTGTCTCTTATGAATGTGCTGAAAATGAGGCTTTCAAGTAAAAACCAAGGACATTAATTACTCAAAGTTGGATGATTGGCTTATTTGATAACACTGGTATTCAGACAGAGTTCTTGACCTGATTCTTTAATGTTTCTGCAAACATTGTTCATACTTTATTAATAACAACTATATGAAATGTGTGGTAGTGTAAAGAGTGGCTGTCTTTGGGAATTACAGCTTTAATTTGGGTGGGTGAAGGAGGGAGGATCTATGGCTATGCAGGCCTGATTTTCCAATAAGAAGCATTTGGGTGGATTTGACAGCCTTCATTGACATGGCTTAGTACAAATCTTTGAAAGTATGAAATGTATTACTAACAACAAATAACTTATGCTTTCTGACTTGCTGAGGAGGATGTTTTCAGACAAAAAAGACTAGAAACCAGCATGCCCTCTTCTAAAAGAATAACGGGGTTGGAGTTTGGCACAAGAATGGGCAGAATTGAGCAGCAGTGTCCAGGTTCTTCATGGAGCTGCTGGTGGTGCCTTGGAGCTCAGCTGGATGAGAGCTGCAGAGGAGACAGAGCCAAAGCCTTTCTGAGCTGTATAGCACTGATCTTCCAGTGAGAAACCTGGTGAAAAGGGTCTGTAATAAAAATAAGTGATCCTGACATTTAGTGAACTCATAAAAGATCATTGGGTCATATATTTTACATGTGAGAATATGCAGCTGGGAAAAGCTGCTGTCACTCCAAGCAGAAGCTGATATTTGTTTCTTTCCATGAGGGAAAATAGGAATTTCTCAGATATGAAGTTTTCAAAGTATCTTTTTGTAAGTTTATCATTGCATGTTAGATGTCAGAGAAGAATTTTTGTTCTGCCTCAAGACATTTGAACATCGCCACTTTTGATTTCTCTGTCACACAAAAATGTGAGTCCTTATTGTGCACTTAACATACCTCCTGGCTTAAAAGCACAAGCACATTGCCACTGCTCATTGGAAAAGAATTGTAAAAAAAGATGACAAAGGTAAGATCTGGGCAAAAATATGGGAGCCTTTTATGATTTTGACATATTTTGCAAGATTTGCCTTTCTTGGACCTTAGTTCTGACCATGTGTAAATGCTGACATATCTGTAAGAAGAGAAGCTTTGTAGATCCAGAATGGAATGTTTCATTTTATATAAATTGATAATAAAAGCACACAAAGCCTGTCAACCTGGAGGCCATGTGAACAGTAGTATTTTCAAAAGAACAGTTAGAGCCTCTCACCAGCACAGTAATAGACCCTTCCCACAGTAATGGGAGCAGGTCCTGCTTTGCTCTCCTCTTCCTCAGCTGCAGTTCCAGCTTTCCCTCCAGTCCCACTGATTGCTGGGGCAAGGTCATGGTCCTGAAGCTCTGCTTCTTGCAGTTATGGAGAATTCAGAAGCTACAGTTGAAGGAAATTGTTGCTGTGGTTGTGTTTGGCAGAGAAAGCAAAGCATGGTACTTCCTGCCATGTGCCTTTTGCTGTAGATACTGTCCAATGGTCATAGAGGTCTTCAGATTGGGTAAAAGATGTGTAAAACTGCTGCTTGGTGGTGCTGTGTCTTGCATATCAGAGCTCAATATGAAATATTCTAAGAGTTGTCTAATACTCAATGTTGTAGTGCAAATAGAAAAGGACACTTTAATTGCATTTCATTTTTTTACTTCTCACCTTTTCTCCAAGAATCTTCAGCAGTTTGTTTTGGCAAACAAGTCATCCTCACAACAGCCAGGAAATGCAGGAGCACTCATTTTTGGGGGATCTATATTGCTAGGTCTGTTAAAAAGACAAGATTGTGAGGACACAGAGAACTTATTCCACAAACTGAAAATGCTGTAGTGGCTCTGGCAAGCAAATCTTGCCTTGTCCAAGTGCCATCCACCACACCAGCCTCTGCTTCCTGCTCAGCCTGGCATTTTCACCTCTTGATTTACGTTATGCGATGAGTAAATCTAGAAAAATCTCCTCCATCGTGCGTTTTAAATTATTTATCTTAAATTATTAAGTGTGCAGCCAGTTACTGAACTCCTGTAGCTGGTTGGAGCTGTGTGGGAAGATGTCATCTGGCAGTTTATTCCCTTTTTGTCACTTGGTCACGTACAGTTCTCAAATCTCAACGTTGCTTGTATCTTAGGCAATCACATGGGCACAGATAGGACAAAATCATGTCTTTGCCTCTGTTTGAATCAGTCTGCTGTGCTAATAAAAATTGCATCCCAGGCTAGAAGTAGCAGTGTGTACAGAATGACAAATTGCATCTTCATCTGCCTACGCTAATCGCCTTCTAGTCGAGTTAATCTGCATTGTGTAGCTCTGGCTAGCAGAATGTGTGTCCTAAGAGAATGCTGAAGTCAGGACTTCCAGGCAAAATAAAGGAGCACTAATTACTTAGAATTGCTTAAAGCTGGATCTGTGCCTCTAATGGAAGTACTAATTACTCAAAATTTGACAGTGGAAGAATTTCCCTTTAATTTGGCTGATCCTCGCTATGGGTTGTGTATCTCTTTGGTTCTCCACTGTCTGCCCACAATTTTAATTTGTTATCACCATTGTAAAATTACTGTGTAAATGAATTGTGTTTGTATTTGGAAAAGGCATCTTGGACTTGTTGAATGTGTAGTTTATTTCCTTATTTCCTGTCACTGGAAAACTGCTCTGCTGTGTTTCTCTTCATTTTAAAGCAAGGTGACTATTGACTCATCTCCCATTATTTCAAATCGCTTAGAAATTCACATCTTTGCTTTGAACTTGGGGGTTTTGGTTTTGTTTTGTGGGATTTTCTAAATTTTTCCATTGAGTAAGGCAAAATATAAAACATTAAAATCTACTCCCATTTCTGCAAATCAGTGTCAAAAACAATCGTAAAAGAGATTTAAGATGCAAAATCAAGCACTCAGAAAATTAGAAAACATAAGAATGGAAATTGTCTGTGTAATTTTAATTTTACTCCTTCATGCATATGTAGTGGGATGGAACTTCTTAATTATGTCATCAGGACTGTGTTTTCCTTTGTGTGCAACTGGTAAATTATTTATTCAGTGTTTTCCTTGCAGCTCTGCTGCTCTTCTCATTTTCAAAGGTAGGTCTACAAAGCAGTCCCAAAGCCAGAGAAGTAACTTTGCAGTTGGGCTTTGATCCTGCACAGAAATAAGTAGGAACTTTCCTATTCCTTTGGTGTAGGAGCTCGTCATAGATGTTTCATCACAAATGTTCCCTTTAAAACATATTTTAATGTTCTGATTCATTTACAGTCAAAATACCGAATTGATGTTACTTAATTTAAATCCAGTTTTGTTGACATAAAACTTTCCAGTGGCTTATTCTGGTTTAGCCTTTGGTTTCCTTTTATGTCTTCCTTTCTGTACAGCTGAATGAGCTTGTTATTTCTGTCCCTGCAAATAGGAATATTAGTTGTTTACAGTGATTCCAGTCATACAAGGACACAATTAAATGTCCTTGCCTGTGCAGGACAAGCTCATTTTCACAATGATTTATAATTACGTTCTATTTTAAATTCTTCATAAGAGCCTACATAGTCAACAACTTAAAGCAGTTTTAAATAATTATTATTTTAAAATAAGGTGTTTTTTCCCCTTCAAGGAGCATGGAATAGCAAACTAAGTAAAACTAATTAGTAAATGGTGGGGGAAGGGCAAAGCAAAACAGTGGTTTATCTTTCTTTGTCAAAACAAAGCTGAATAAGAAGCTTGTGCTACTAAAAAACTGGTGTTGCAGACATAGAGGGAGGACCCTCTGGGTACAAACAGAAGAACACTCATACAGTTGCTCTTATTGATTTTTTTTTTCCTTACATGCAAAAAATGTTTGGCATTCCCCAACAAAACCCACAAAAACACCTACGTCAAAAAGTTAAATAGGTTTCAAAATCAAATCCTTAAAGGTCAAGAAATGCCACATGTATGTAAATGGCCAGAAGAATTAAAATTCTACCTCTCTGTGCCTCCAGTCTGGAGACTGAATGAAAGGAGATTGTGTTAGGGGCAGACAAGCAAAAACCTCTAAATTATGTGAGCACATAGTTAAAATTGCCAGATACTCTTGTGTTCATAGGACGGTGGAGTTACATTCCCTATTAGCTTTAGTTATTCATAGTTTTAAATCAATACTTTCTACTAATTGAAATATCACATATGTGACAACTTACACCTATTCTCCTCAAGGTCCCAAGTGTATTTTATAAAACTGTGAGCCATGGGACACAGGATCTGCCACTCTTACTTGCATACAAATAGCCAGACCCGCCACGGCACTGTGAAAACCATCATTTGCTGCTGAGCTCCTTTGGACCCAAAGGATGTCTGGCACTGTGTTTCCCTGTATTGATCTGGAGGTACAACAGGCTTTGGCAGCATCCTTTGTACCAGCCAGGCTTGCTTAAGCTCCATGAAATTGCCTAAATCTGGCCCAGGGATGCAGCTGATGGACTCTGCCAGGCGAGCAGTGCCGGGAGGCTGCCGGGATGCTCAGCCATGGCTTAGTGCCCTCCCTGCTGCTGTTCTCACTCCTGAGCTGCTGGGAGTTGCCACCATTTTATTTGTCTGTTTTCCATGGGCTTCACTGGACTAAACAAACAGTTTTAAAGCTATCTTGAGAAATTGAAAACTTTAGCTACAGCGATGGTGTTTCTCTGGTAGCATAGATACATGTAAACAGACTATGGATTTCACATAGACAGGACCTTTTATTAGAAGCAGAAGCTCTTGCAGGATCCTGGAAAGGACTGATCAGCATCCTGATTTACCTTGTTAAACAGGGCTGGTATTTCAGTGAGCTGTCACAAATAAATACTCACAGATTGGCACAAGGACAGGCAGGCAGGAAACCATGTACGGGCATCAACTGTGCCAGAGGGCAGGGATGACAGTGAGGAATGCAACCTCCTGAAGTTCCCTGGTTAAGGCAGAACGCCACCTGGCACAAATCCTGGCTGCCATAAGATTAAAAATAACAAATAGCATCCCTATTACATAAGGAAAGCTTTTGTCCCTGTTTAATGGGGCACTGCGATATGCTGGAAAGAATAAATTTGGAGC